TCTTATTATATATATATATTAAGTTCTTATATATATATTGAGTCTATGCATAATTTCGTAGCGAAAATCGAAAAATTTCAAGCAAAATATTTGTAAAAAAAGTGATGTTCCATTCGTTCAATGACTATCTCTCCACGAGCTTCATTATCCCTCTTTTCATAGAAGTCCTGAGATTTTTTGAGCAAAGAAGTCATCCAAGTAATTTTTTAAGAACATCCAGGGAATTAAAGGTTTTGTTATTCAAATTGTTCTGTAGCGCCCGGAATAAGTGATAGTCTAAAGGTCCGGATTATACGATGGGTGCACCAAAACATCCCATCCAAACCACAATAATTTTTGCTGGGTCATCAGAGAAACGTATGGTCTAGCTTTGTCCGGGTGGAACACAACGCCTTTCTGTTTGCCAATTCGGGCCATTTCTGATCGATTGCTCGCTTTAATTTGACCAGTTGTGAGCAGTACTTGGTCGAATCAATCGTTTTGTTGGGTAGCAGTAGTTCATAATAGACGATTCCTTTCCAATCCCCTCAGATACTGAGCATTCTTCGGGTGTAATCCAGCCTTTGCGGCTTTGACCATGATTGAGCAGCCTCTGAGCGCTTCGACTATGATCTTTTTCGACTGACATTGTTGTAGACAATCCACTTTTCATCGCCAATGATCATCCGCTTTAAAAATAGTTCGTTTTCATGGCGTTTAAGCAGCGAAATCGCAAGCTGAAATTCGGTCCATTAAATTCTTTTCGCTCAGTTCGTGCGGCACCCAAACATCAAGCTTATTTATCATCCCAAGCTTTCGTAAATGTCTCGAAACAGTTGATTGATCAATGTTGAGATTATGTCCAATCTCTGTAGTCGTCAAATGCCGGTTGAAGTCGATTAAAGCCTTGATTTGATCGACATCAGTAATGACTGGCCAGAGCGAGGAGCATCTTGAAGATCAAAATCTCCGCAACGAAATTTCGCAAACCATTTCCATACACACTTTCGCTTACGGCATTCTCTTCATACACGACGCATATTTTTTTGTGAATTTGCGACGCATTTTTGCCTTTTCGGAAATAAAAAAGCGAAATACACCGAAAATACACATTTTTTTCTTTCCATTCAAAATATAATTCAAAATATAATTAAACTTCGTATACGTCACAAATCTCGATGAATACTTTCTTAAAATGTCGGCACAAATTTCAGCTTTCACTTAATGTACGACACTTCATATGTTTGACACATGTACGAGCGAAAAAACAACTGCGAACTGCGACATCTGTCGGAATTTCGCTACGGAATTATGCATAGACCCAATATATATTAAGTAAATAAAATACAAATATTACACATGAAAGTGGGATCATTTGAAGGTTCAATTAATCTTTTCCTCTAAATATTCGGAAAGCAACGAGATAACATTTTGATAAGGGTAAAATATCTGAAACCGAATATTCTGCCGAACAATTTTTCCATTCGTCGAAGCTACAGATCAACGATCTAAGTAGATATCTGTACCTCAGTCTGCATGATTGCAACGGCTCTTCCTACTTTCGATAACCCATTTCTCACTTTCTTACGCTTAATTAATCCTACAGTATTTTTTACACTTTCTTGTATTATTATATATTATATACCTGAATGTATTTGCTGATAAAATTGGACATTGCGTCAAATATGGTACACCATCATAATATTGATATCCATTTTGAAAGATTCCATGCCAATGTATACTCGTCTCAAGTCCTTCAGCTTCATTTTTTAAGTCAACAATGACATAGTCATTTTTGCAAACCTTAAAAATCATTAAATAATATTAATTACAGTAATAGATTAAATAATAAAATTATACTAATTCAATTCAAAACTATATATTCATTTAATATATCTAAAAAAGGATATTTGAAAGACATAAACATTATGTCTTAAATATAATAAGTCATTATATTATAAAATAATATAAATGTACTTCCGATTAGACATTTTTAAATAAAACATGTTGTATTTAGAAATTCATTCATTTTTGTATAAACTTCAATTCGTATTTTCGTTTATATAATTTATTATTTATATTATTTATATATATTAAATTTGTACATATTTCTTTGTAAATATGTAAAATATGCTTCTAAAGATTTCACAAAATAATAATACAAAGGTGATTTTGAAAAGTCCGTGTAAAATGAAAACTATTTAATTTTTCAGAATAAACCTTTTTTCAACTATAGTTCTCCTTTTAAAGGAGACTACGTTGAAAAAGGTTTATACGGACCGCCATAACGGTCCGTCCTCGCCTACGTTCGAGTTCGGGTGCGCGGACGTGCTCGTCGGTTGCCGGGTTCGGTAATTAATAACAATGTATAACTCAGTTGTTTGATAAAAAGGATATTTATTTGTATCAAATCAGGTGGATACACAGCGGGGCGGGGTCGCCTGGGCGCGTTTGCTGACGAGTGTGATGTATGGTTGGCCGAGAAGTCCTTGGTGCGCACAAGATGTGCGTGATGTGTACGGAGTGCGCGACGCGTGCGTCGGGGCGAGAGATTGGCTCATGTCGGGGGCCTACGGGCCGCGCCGGCGTGCGATTGGTCGAACGGTGATTCGGCGTTAGCCTCGACAGTGCGTGCCGCGTTACTCGATATTTCCGCGCGGTCGGTGGGTATTCGAATGTTAGGAGCAAGAATGCTCGCTCCGTTTCGTGAATTTTGCACGAGAGACAAGTATGCTTGTCAAGGACCGAGAATATTCCGTCCCGTGTGCTCGTGTATTGGCGAGATAGATGAGACTGAGAATGCTCCGTTTCGGACTGGAAGATAGACAGGAACGAGTGATAAGTATGCTTGTTGAGGATTGAAAAAACTCCGTCCCGGTTTGCTCGTAACGTAACGTTGTTAAGGAAGCGTTGAGACTGAGAATACTCTGTCTCGAAGGAAGCGAGAGTCAAGTATGTTTGGCGGAGACTGAGAATACTTTGTCCCGTTTTCTCACTTTGTGCTGATTTAGGATGCCATATACGAAGGCTTATACACTTCGTCCAATGCTGCTCCCGTTTGTTGAACTCTTTCGAATAATATTGTCGCGTTCGCGGCGTTGCTTCTCGCGATCGCGGTACTCGGTGGAGCGCTTCCGGAAAGGAGAACACATTTTAAGAAAAACACGCTGTTTATTAAGCCAACGATACAGCCACCGGCACAGAAACGCGTCCGTCCGTCTGGCCATGAAAATCACTAAAACCACCGGAGAACGACGCATTACCAAGGGCCGATCCTCACTTAAAACTCTCATTGATTGATTCCTTGGGGGCAGCGCCGAGCACAACACCGCACGGCCGCAACACTGCCCCCCTTCTCATAAAATTGTCATCCCGACAATTCTTCTTTATTCAAGAACTTCTTCTTGGACAAGACTTCCGAGCACCTGGCGACTTCCTGCCCTATCCTGGACTGCTGTCTCAGGTTACCGGGCGCCGCCTACTTCTAGTCCCAGTCTTATCTACTCTTCAGAAGAATCTTGTTTTTGAAATTTTGCGCGCTTCTCTCTTGATTCTTCATCTTGAGCTTTGCGCTTCTCTCTTTTATTCTTCGGGCAAAGTGGGGGTATTCATCATGGACCCTTCGTCTTTAAGAAAGTCTCACTGAGAGCCCCTGCCTCGGCATTTGCCCTACGTCCCCCGGAAAAACCACGACTCGGAAAACCGGGGGCGAGGCAGACTTCTTTTTCTTTTAAAAAAAAACTTCTTCAGCTCGATGTTTGACTCGAAGTTCCTGCCTATTGGACGGGCTCCGGATCTTCCCTCAACGTCTCTCCAAAAATTGAAAACTTGAAGAAAAAGAAAAGAAAACAGAAAATAGTAACTTCTTAAAAAGGTACAACTAATATTTTTAATTCCCCTTTATTCCGCAAGAACCGGACTTTAATCGCTACTAGGAAGAACGAGACTGAACAATCAAAACTCGACAAAAGAAACTATTACTGGGCTCCGAAAACCTTTCTGAAATTCTTTCCTTTCCTTAAAAGAAGCTAACCTATCGGCATGCACAACTTTGCTTGCTCGACTTCCTAAACAGGAAATACAGAAAACTACGTCACTCAACTTTTTGATAACTTCATAGGGCCCTTCCCAATCGCACTGCAACTTGGGAGACTTACCCTTCTTACGGTAAGGATTAAATAACCAAACCTTTTGTCCCTCCTCAAAAACGGGATGCCTAACCTTATGATCATAGCGGCATTTGATTTTCCAAGACCTTGATTCTCTCTCTTGATGAATTTCCAGTTTCTACCGCAAATCCCCAACGTACTCCTCCGCTGACTCGGAAAAATCATAACTCAGAGGAGTACCTCTTAGCAAATCCATCGGCAAGGTAAGATCTCTTCCGCAAAAATTCCGAAGGAGTTACGCCTGTAGCCTCATGTTTAGAAATCCTATAGGCAAGAAGAAACATAGGAATCCAAAATCCCAATCCTTTTGATTCTCTTCAATAAACTTCGACAAATACTGTAAAATTGTCTGATGTTGCCTTTCAATTTGACCATCAAACTGAGGATGAAGAGCGGTCGTCCTCGTTTTCCTAATTCCCAAAATTCTCATTAATTGAAAAAGCTGCGATTCAAAATTTCTCTCTTGATCGGTATAAAATTCTAACGGAACCTCATATCTAGAAACAACCTGATTAACAAAAATTTCTGCTACCATAGTAGCTCTCATATTCTTTAGAGGAAAAGCCTCTACCCATTTAACAATCCACAACAACTAGGAGATTTATTGCCTGAAGAAGAAACGGGTAACGGGCCTAAAATGTCCACTTGAATCCTCTCAAAAGGAGCTCCCGAATTAAAGATCTGCAAAGGAGATTTCCCTTTATCCGTAGCACTCCTTTTCGTAACACAAATCCTACAGGTTCTGCACCATTCCTCAATATCCTTCTTACAGGTTGCTCAATAAAAACGCTTCCGGATCTTTTCCGTTTTATTGATCCCGAAATGCCCTCCAGAAGAAGTATCATGTGCTTCTTCTAAAATCTACTTCACTTTGCCTCGCGGAACCACCAACTGAAGAAAACTGTTTTTCAAATTAGAAGCCTCTCATCTCTTATGCAAAATCCCATTCTGAACTTCCAAGGCATACCATTGATGCCAATAAATCTTGGCAGACAAACCCCTCGAAGAAACTTCCTCCCAAGTAGGTCGCAAATCATTTTCCTTGGCGAGTAAAAACATTGTCAGTTCCTGATCCTCCATTTGGGCCTTACGCCATTCTTCAGAAGAATCCTCACGCAAAACAATTCGAGCAACTTTATCGTCAGAAAGCCCCCTCTGAACTTTCACCTTAGTACAGTATCTACATTTTTCAACTGCACATGGGCGTCTCAAAAGATCATCGGCGTTACTGTGTGTAATTTCCTTACAGTTCGATCCTCCATTTGGGCCTTACGCCATTCTTCAGAAGAATCCTCACGCAAAACAATTCGAGCAACTTTATCGTCAGAAAGCCCCCTCTGAACTTTCACCTTAGTACAGTATCTACATTTTTCAACTGCACATGGGCGTCTCAAAAGATCATCGGCGTTACTGTGTGTAATTTCCTTACGATGAGCAACATCAAAATCGTATTGCTGTAATCTTTCCGTCCAGCGAGCCAATTGTCCCTCCAAGTCTTTGAAGGCCATCAACCATCTCAAAGAAGCATGATCAGTTCGGATAGAAAAACTCTTTCCGTACAAATAAAGATGAAAGTGTTTCACCAATTCTACCAAAGCTAATAACTCTCTTCTTGTTGTACAATAATTCCGCTCAGGCTTGTTCAAAACCCGACTATAATAGGCAATGATCCTCTCACAGCCATCCTGAACTTGAGAAAATACCTATTCCAAAACCTGAAGCATCCGTATCCAGAATCATCTTTCTTTCTTCCTTCGGAAAAGAAAGAAGAGATGCAGACGTTAATGCCTACTTTAATTTCAAAAATGTTTCTTGACATTGCCCGGTCCAATCAAATTTAATCAAATTCTCAGTTAACTTTAATCAAAGGCTTCGCAATTGAAGAAAATCCCTTAACAAATTTCCGATAATATGAGCAAAATCCAAGAAAACTTCGGATCTGTTTCTTATTCTAAGGAACTGGCTACTCAGTGAGCCGCTTCAGGATTCGTAGCGATCCCGGCGGAAGAAACAACGTGATCCAAATATTTTATTTGTCTCCTAAATAAATTACATTTCTTTGGATTAACATTAAGTTTCGCAGCACGAAATCTCAAAAGAACCTCTCTTAAATTCTCTTTCATTTCCTTAAAAGTTTTGCCAAATACTATCACGTCAATAAACCAGGCAAATTTTCGAAAGTAAATCTCGAAGTACCCATTCCATAAGACGCTCAAAGGTAGCCGGGGCATTACACAGACCAAAAGATATCGCGACAAATTGCCATAGCCCATTACCCACAGAAAAAGCAGTCTTTTCCCTATCTTCGGGAATTTTCATTGCCAATAATTCATTGCCAATAATTCATTGCCACTTTTCAAATCCAGAGTGGAAAACCAGGCATTTCCCGATAACTGATCAACCCTTGGTAGCGGATAATCTTTTTTCATAACCGTATTCAATTTCCGATAATCAACGCAAAATCTAAGAGGACCTTCTTTCTTCTTTAGCAAAACTGCTGGAGAAACCCAAGGGCTTGAAAATTCTTCAATTATCCCTTGTTCTTTCATGTCCTCCATAATTCTTTCAATTTCTGAACGCAAATGTATTAGAATTCTCCTAGGAACCTGTTTAATAGGACGAGAATCCAACAAT